GGCCATGTCACATTGATTATATTTATAGGCGTATGGAGAGTTTCTCGAAATTCAGTTTTACGTAACAATACTGACGCTAACACTAATATTTACGTACACACATATATTGTTGATTCTTACCACAAATTGATGAGCTTCAGAAAGCTGAAAATGAGTATAAAAACAGTAAGAAACAAGCAAACATTGACAGTTTTACTTCTTGGCATATGTTATTGTCAGACAGAAAACTTACGATTATGTGATGTTGCTATAGAAGTCTTAGTTCTTTTGCAAAAACTATAAAATAATTTTATTACTTCTGAACATCATAATCTTTTCTATATAAAATGTAATTCAGATTAAGAGATAAGATTTCATAACAGTTGTAAAAAAAGTTTCATAATGTTTACTCAACTTCATTTTACATGATTTTGATTCAGTTTTTTTTGTTAACTAAATAAACACGATTGAGAGGTTGGTTTAAGCACTATTTATTTTGTGTATTTTTTGTATTTATTTGTGAATTACAAGAAAAAATTTTTAATTTATTATTCAATTGAAGTCAGAAGAGAGATGTGACTGCACAAGACTTGTGTGAATAAGTAACATACTTGATTACATTTTTTTTTACTGAGACAGAATGGGTTACAATAATATATTGGTAGGATATAAAGGTTCTGTTAGGGGTCTAGTCAGGAGTGTGCTGGCAAATTTTTTAACAACTGGTTCTGTTTAAGGTCAAAATTCTGTGATACATCAATATAAACTTGTACTAATTTGTGAAACATGTAATAGTTAATAGTAAGGAAAATAAGTTTTTTTTTTTTGCACCATTTCAAGATAAATTTCTATTGACTGCTAAATATTTATTAGAAAATTTAACAACTGGTTTGGGTGAACCGGACTGAACAAGCCCCAGCACACCCCTGGGTCTATCATTACACATCATTTTTAGGTACATAGTTTTTAATATTTAAGTTATTGTTTGGCTCCAATAAATAAATTTTATAAAGGAAAGACTGGAAAGTATTTGTTGGAACAAAAGTTTATTTATCAGTCACAAATTGTTGGTCAAAATTTTTAACTGTTTTTTTTTTATGAATTTTAGGCTTGCATGTCTATCTAAGTAAAGCTTTTACTTCTTAAAACCTAACTTTAATGAAAGGATTTTTGTGTGTGTTTTGAATAATAATACTTCTATAATCATAAAGATCCACTACAGTGACTTTTCACTTCTTTATTAACAGCTGGTTCCTGGGCCACCGTTTGTGTTTGGAGCTTTCCTGGTAATGTTAGCCCTACTGGTTGCTGCCTTCATTCCTGAGTCTCACCCACTTGGCAACAGTATTCGCTGTCCCTCACATCATCGACATTCTTCTCTTTCTGCAGCTACAAACTCCAGTGTGAGCTCCGAAGGTCCATTTCTTAATGATGTAGTTCATAAGCGAACAGATGGAATGCAACCACTTTTACATGATACAGAACCTTTATAACCAGTCATTTTTCCTATTGCAAATAATTTTTCTGTACTGTTCTTACTTCAGAAATTGTATTCGGAGAAACGAAAGAAGGCTGCACTGTACATAGTATAGAATTATAAAAAAATTTAAAGGATAGATGTGGCTTTGGAATTACAAATTCTTTTATGAAGATGGTGTATATATATATATATATGTGTGTGTGTGTGTATAGGAAATACATTAATTGTAAATTTTCTGAAGATACTGTACTTTAATAGACTGTTGAATATATTCATGATAGTAGCAGCTTGTCAGAAGTTGCTGCTTTAAAAAAGGAATATATTAGATTTCATACATTTGTACGATATTTTATAACAGTAAGTGGAATGAGTGTGTTCTTAATAAAACATTACTGTTGATCATAGTGGGTAATTGTATGGAATTGTGATTATTTCAACTGAGTTTTCACAACCAGTGCTGACTAGATACTAGCCTACCAGGTCTTAGGCCTTTCTGTTTGATCCCAAATAAGGTTGATCAGTCTTGATGTTTCAGATACCTGCAAGTGTTAGATTTGTTAGCAGTAGTGAAGGATGATAAAAAAAAGGTTTATTTTTATTGTTGTTGAAAGTTTACTGTTGCTAGTTTCTCTTACTTGTACTTAAAACGTATATAAAAAATACAGATAATTGTGAAAAAAATTTTTTAGATTAGTTAAAAAGTGCATTTATGTTTAGTAATATATCTTGTGCCTTACAAACTCTCTATTAATTTAGTTTTTGCTTTTCAATCACAATTATATTAATTTTATATGTAAGAGAAATTGGGCATAAGAATGGAATCTTTTTTATTTTTAACCTTTGATATTTTAAAACAACTATTCAAACAACAGAACCAAAAGAAAGAAAGTGTCAAACATAAAAATCAAATACAATTAGGATACAAACTACATTGTCAAATGTGCCATAGTAACAGAGAGATCTGTAGTAGAAGTAGAACCCACACTGTTGTATAAGTAGATCATATATCAAATTTAACCTCTATTCACGAGCCTGATATTTGGAAAGATATAACAATTAATTGAAAAATTAAGAACGGATACGAACACTCTTACCTACTGTGTCTCACATTTAAAACTACAAGTGTACAACCAGTTAAGGAAATATAATTACTGTAGTGAAGCAGAATTATAAAAATTAATGCAGTTTACAACAACTAGACCACTGAAGGTGGGGATGGTGACATAAAAATAAAACCAGCCCCCATGATGGTCACACACCTATATGAACAGTATAATAAAGCATAAAATAGTGATGTTAGAGAAAATATATATAAAAATATTAAAAGTTATTATGCTGAAAAAAATGGTAATTTTTTTGTATCTAGCACAACTTAACTAGAACATTCAATGATTATGACCATTCATCTAACTGTATGAGCTCTTTATCAGTATAATGTCCAGGTATATTGGTTGAGTTTCTTACTATTTTTTTGTGGACTTTATAGAGAAAAGTCCATATTTTATTTGTTTAACAGTAGACAATTTTAATCTAGTCTTGCAAATATTATTATACTGTTCACGAGGAGGCTGGAATTTCAACTTCGGGAGATAAGTTTTTACATCACCCTCGACTGTTAATTTGTTTTTTTTTTCCTTATACTTCATTAAGAGCAACTAGCTATTCATAATTGAAGATTTTAAACCATTTATGTTCTTGATTTTGTTTTTCTTCAAATATTTGAGGCTTGTGAATAGAGGTCAAATCTGATAGATGTTGTTTCTCTACTGTCATGTGAGTCATAAATCTTCAGATATCTCTCTTACTAAAATACATTAGATGTGTGTGTCTGTGTTTATAGATATACAAAGATACACATCTTGGTCAGTTTCCCAAATTTAGTGGTTTTTGAACTTGATAATCTGACATTAAGAATAGATAGCATTATCTTGTTCATACAAGATTGTGTTAAAATCACAAAATAAAAGGATTTGTTCGTAACATTTGGGAGGGATCCATGTCTTTATACTAGCATGTAATTTAGGGGTGAGCTGTACCAACTATCAAGTAGAAAGGGGTTATAATTCTTATCAAACTGCTGTTGTACAGAAATTTGTTGCCAAAACTTCAAACTGTGCAGCTCTCCATCAATAGTTGTTTATTTCAAGTTCCACAGTAATTTAGTTTTGAGTATTTTATTCAGTATTGATTATGTTAGTTGAAAAAGAAAAAAGGTTATGTATTCTTTCAAAGAATCTATCGAACCCAAAGAATATTGCAGAAAGATAAGTAGGAATGTGATGCTAACATATTCGTAAGATATGCCCCAAGTAACTATACAGTGTAATCACTCTGAAAGGTTTTCTAAGAAGTATTGAATATCAGTTGTTTTGATTAGTAGCTTATATGATCATCAAAGTCTAATTACTAATTACTTTTTAATAATATTAATACTGCTAGGTACTGATTATTTTATATCTTGTTTCAACTGCTAATCAGTATCTAATAGTAATGATAAACAGATTACTAAGTAATTGATAATTAGATATAGAGAGCCATATAAGTTACTAACTGGAACAACCATTCATCAGTATTCTAATAAGGGATATTATGGTTATTTCTATGGAAACCAAGTGTATAAATAGAACTAGTTGACTACATCAGTAAAACTATTGTGTTGTAGCATTACATTTCTCGAAGAAAAAGGATCCCGTTTTTCTCCATCTATCTAGAACCATAACCTTAAGACAGTGCTAGTTACATTCAGTGCAACTGGAGTATATTACTTATCACTGTTGTATATGTCTGGAAAATTATTGCACAGCTGGAATGTTTTGTGTTGCCTGACCCTGACTGGCCTTAGTATTAGCTAATGTTTATTTTTAAATAAAAATTTGGCTTTGTTTTTCTTATACTTTTAAGTGTGTATGTGCATGTCACTCAATACCACACTATTATACATTTTTTATTTACTTTTATACTTTGTTTCATGTCGATTGCTTGAAATATTGTATAACTTTGTGCAGATTGTCAAACTGGAGTTTTTTTATTCACATTTCTACAAAATATAAAAATATCTAGATAAGAATCTAGAGGTGAAATAGAACGGTTAATGTTTCCTAGTGGGGAAGAATGAGACATTTATACAATGAGTAAAATTATTTTAGTGTACGTATAACCTTCTTAACTCTTTCACTGCCATCTAGAATTCCCACCTATTATGTATAATATGAAACCATTCTTCATTCAGTAATAAAATGCAACGTTCCCTTTCAGTTAAGAATGAAATGTGATTTATTCCTTATATTGCCTAGTGTGCATCAGTGGTTTTGTTTTTAATCGTTGTTTCCTTCAGTGCCAACTTGATGAAAGTCATCAAACACTAACAAAAGCGTTCTTTATTTTAGAGCTGTAGAGGTGGTAACCCTACTGCCATGAACATATATATTGTCTTCTTGTAGAACACTGCCATACGAGTTTGAAATTTTTATACTAATGTGAATAATAGGGTATTCTCCATCAAACTTCCTAAAATTTATCAGTTTCAGAAAAGTATTAAAATGTCTATTTTTACTCTGTTGTTATCTAAAGATAAACGTATCACTGGGAAAGTTCTATATCTATAAACATGGCAGTGAAAAAGTTCAAGACCCACTTGTGAAAATATTTAAAAGTAATATTAACTTTTGTCTGAAAGATAAAATTGTGTTTTCATATTGTTTTACAGCAGTTACTTTTATATATAATTGTATGAACATAGGTTTAGTCAAATTACTGGAACAAGTAAAATAACATATTTTTTCACAACCTTTATGGTGAACTTCAAACTTGAAATACTTGTCTTACACTACTTTCATTTGTAGGGAAGAGATATTAAAAATACAAAATGTGTGAAAATAAAACTGATTTTATGTTAAAACTAAATATAGTTTTGATGCAAGCTCATATTTCTTTGTTGCCAGTAAAATTTGATGTATTTTTCCATTTCAAAATAATCTCTTACAAGATATTTCTCAATCAACACATGAAATATATAAATAATAGTTACTTATTCGTGATGTTATGAAAACAGTTGTGTTGAACAACTCATTAAAATTCATTTTGTGTTCCACAATTTTTTTGTTGGTAAAATTATTAATTCTTTTGGTGGTAATGCATTTTCTTTTATAATCACTAATAAACAAACAAAACATGTTAACATTAATCGTTTAGGCTAACGTATTCATAAGAGGTAGGAGCATATTTTGTTTTTATTTATATACATAAATGTGTGTGTATTTATAGGATTATTGAAATCTTTCAAAGAATTGACTGTGATATTACATAAAACCTATTTCCATCCTTTATTTATATTACTCAGTGGCTGATAGAAAATTATTACATATACTAATGTTAGCCTACTTTTCTTTTGTGGTTATTATGGGCTTTTTCTAGGTTTTATTACTTTTTTATTTCTTTTGTGAGTGTTGTGTGTTAGCATTTGTTCTAATGTACCATTGCATAATTGTGTAACTTGTGACTTCAGAAATTGTGTGATCATGGTTTTTAAAAGTCATTTCAGAGCATTATGTATAGAGTACATGACATGGATACGTTGTCTTTTTTTCCTTCAGTGTTATCTATTCTCAATGTAAGGGTGTTGCGTTTTTGAGCTTTAAAAATCGTCTGTAAAATTTAGTTGTCCAAATAAAATAATTGCAAGTTTGTTCTTATGGTTGTGCTTTTTATCAGTCATTTATTTTAAATGATCCACTATAAAAGAACATATACCGTGGATATCTTTAGAAACTCCTAATGTAGTAATAATAGCAATAAAATAAATCCATATATGTTTAGCACATAGGAACATTGTTTTATGTTTGTTAGCAAGCCTTCTTCGAGTTTGAGTGACTGACTTTTGATTTTGAACATGCTGTTTAAGAAAGCATTGTTATAAATTCAAGTTCACACAAATATTGTTGACATACAGTGTTGGATTAAAAGGTGAAAATAGAAATATTATTTTAAAAATATGCAATGGATATGGCGAATATAGTGTGTTGGGAACGGTATTATACACTCTTTAAGTTTTAGAAAATCCCTAAGGAACTAGATAAAGAATGTAATGTTTAACCCATTGATTGCTGATAAGTCGTATAGGGTACAGCCCGCCCCTTGTATTTGAATGCGAGTGTGTTGTATACGGTGTACGGCTCGCAAATATTTCACGCGCGTTTAAAGTTGCCGCAGTCAAAGGGTTAAGAATGTAATAGGCCTAACACTAACGTCATGTGGCAAGTATAATTATAAACATTGAATTTATAAATATAATTTTAGGAAATTACACAAAAGTTATTTGAAATTCAAATGAAATGTAACATTTTATTGTTATAAATTCACATGATCTAAATTCTGAAAATTGGCTTTTAAAAAATTATTTTGATGATACAGTATTATGTAAAAATTATGATTTTAAAATTAACATGTATCCATAAGTGTCGCTCATAGGTTTCACACTTATAAATATAATTGTTTGTTGCTGTTTTTTGCGTATTCCTTCTCTTCTTTGTATCCATACCCAATAGACGGAGAGTCATTCGTTTTCCCAAATTATATTATTCTAGTAGAACATGTCGAAATTCGATAACATGTCAAACCATATTCTAAAACTAAGAACCATCGAATTCATAATGGAAAAGTTGTTTACAAAACGCCCTTGCAAACAATATTTGCTCCTTCCGGGATATAAGTTTCAACCAATCGAATGACCGTATCCTGGATAGAACTGCTTAGAGGTAATCGTGGGAAAAAAATAGGCTCAGCTAAGTGCAGCCCCGAAAGATAGACATCCATTTTCCCAAATTGTATTAAGACATGTATAGATGTATACATAACAATGTGATATACATACAAGCAAAAATTGGGACACTTATAATCATTTCAAGCTAGAAAGAAACGAATTTTTAAAGAAACTGTTTCCAGTCATGACAAGTTAAATCATACAAGACCGGTAGAAATTAATAAAAACCCTATAACCAGAGCGCTTTCAAAAGGTGGTCCTTTCTTTTTCAGGGGCAAACTGAAGAAGAAAGGTCCACCTTTCGAAAGCACTCGGATTATAGGATTTTTATTCCTTTCTATCAAGACTTCTTGAACCTACGTGTTTTTTAAACATACAAGATTGATGTCATGATTTTCCCTCACTCTGTTCATGTTGCCCCCAGTGACACAACGGTATGTCTGCGGACTTACAACGCTAGAAACTGGGTTTCGATACCCGTGGTGGGCAGAGCACAGATAGTTTATTGTGTAACTTTGTGCTTAACTTCAAAACAACAACAACTATTCATGTCTTTATTTGATCCCGTGTTGATCTTTATAATCATAAGAGTTTCTATCTTTAAGTGGAGTTGTTCTCAAACTGGAGAATGGAGGTTAAATTACATACGATGATTATTGTCATTCCCAGGTAGGAATGGAAACAGCAGACTTCAAATTTACTTAAATATAGACTATACATGTTTTCTCATTCTTGTTTGTACTGTGTGACCAGTTAACTTCGAGTGAGCAAGGCTATTTGGCTTGTACTCCAAGCTCAATGGAGGCCTCAAATTTAGACACTTGTTAATTTTTGGCATTTGTTAAGTTTCGTGATTTGTTGTTTTAATGCGCCTTTCTTCAGATTATATTTCACTCTTTTTTTTTTTTCGAGCTAATGATTTTTGTTATTGTTTTCACGTGTCGCCATTTCTTATTATTATGGCCAGGGGCCTCAAAAGCTAGAAGTAGCCCGGGCCTCTCTGAGAGGGCCTGCGAGTGAGTGTGTGGTTAGTTCTTTTCTTACAGCTTTATTCGTAGAATACTTTATGAATGAATCCATTTTATGGTATAATTATTGCATGTTTTAATTAATGATTGTCTATTGAATTTATTCGTAGTAATCAACTTTCTTGGTTTCTAGTGAATGGGTTTTGAACTCACACTAAAATGAGTGTTTTTACTAACTGAGCTAAAGGGTTAACCCGGTGGTACCTCTTAATAAGGCAGTTTTTAACAGTTCAAACTACCACAGTTTCCCCTCCTTTCACACAACAAGGCCCATCTCATGGATATGGACGAAAAAACATTTCTTATTAATTGAACTAGTCTATGATCTTCTAGTAAACCGATATTCAATAGATAAAACACAAGTTTTAGAAATGTTACACAAAGAAGAAATAGAATAGTGGTGGCAAAGGAAAAAATAAACACAAGTGAATAAACAATCAAAATTTTTATTCACAAGTATGTTACTTGGATGTATTGTTGTCTGCTTTATGGCTTACAATTTTCCACTGTTAATGCTTGCTGAGTCTGATAAAAAAAAAAGTTGTCAAATAGATTCACGCCAGACAAATACAAAAATAATTATTCTACACCACTCTTTCAAATTACACAATGGGTCCAAGTGTGGTATACCATAACCCCCAAACTGCATACATCACATATTATTCAAAACAAAGGAGAGAACCCCTAACTAATGCCAATTTGTACAAGTACCTGTGTCTCTGTTTGAGGAGGAATTGCCCCCCTCCAGGGAGTGGACACGGACAAAGGGATACAAGCCTGTAGTCGCTGCTATATGCAACCTTTATCTGAATGAAATGTTTTCAACCTTTTGACATCTAGATTATATATTCTAAATTTGTTATAAACAGATAAAATTAGTAGCTATTTGAGCTATGACATATCAGGAGATAAGCTATAAACTGTATAATGTTTTTAAAACAAAGGCTGCTGTATTCTTGGTTTTACTATGTAATTCAGTAACATAGTAAATGAATTACATGCTTTAATCGAAGACTGCTGCAATGTTAGTTTCATCTTGTGATCCACTTGTAAAGTAAACTATATAACCTGTTTTAATCCAAAACATAAAAAACTAATATACGATTAAATTTTTTTCTGTCGTGAATTTGTATAGTCGACTGTATAAAGTGTGGTTATTAAGATTCGAAACTGGTTTACTATTGAATTGCTATGCAACCTTATTGTATAGTAAATCACGTCATTGACGCTGAAACAATCTATGTAGAAAGGGTGCTGAAAACCATGAACAGAATAGAAACCCCTGTATATGATAGGAACCACGTCAAACTAGGGGATGCCTTTGAGTCAAATGGTTAATTTTAAAGACTGAGCTAATAATAAGTTTGACACTACGTCAGTGATCAATTTTAATGTCTAAATTTCTTCAGCTTAAGACCTTTGTTCAGTACTGCATTTTTGTTAATTTTGTGAATAGTCCATCTTTACTATAATTTCCTTCATTTGATTGTAATATTAATTTTGGATATTAATAGCTACTTACGAGTTTTACTCGAATTTTATAACTGCTACTTCTGGAGCGTCTCCTATTTCAAAGAGAGAGAGAATCTGGATTATGCCTCCTTCTTCCATGGATGTCTCTAAGTGGTTATGCAGTTTAATAAGAAATGGCCCCAATGATTAAAGCATCCCTCTTCTGAAGTTCTTAAACATTGCTGTAGAAGTATGGGTATTGTTCCATTTTGAAACTTGAATCAATGCATCAGTACCATAATTGTGGGTGGCATTTAGGAGAATTGTCTATGTAATTAAGATTGTTTCCCTTTCTTATCAGAAGAACATGTTTATCTGGTAATCAATTTCTTTCTGTGTTTCATTTTGTTTTTGTAACAAAATTTATTCGAGTGGAATATATTGATGAACAGAAAAGCATTCAAACTCTCTCCCCTAAGAATTTGCAAGTCCCCTTCCCAGGTGAAAAGATTTGATTACTGCCTTACAATGCATTTTGGTCATCATAGATTTTTTTCTTCACTGGCAGATCTAGGGTACAATCTTGGAAGGAGCTACTTCGTGAAGGAGGTTCCAAGAGTGAATGAATATACAAAACAAAAAGATTCCGTCCACTTGAATTTCTGCGTAGTATAAGTAGAAACGAGTGGGATACACTATTTAAACAATTAGGGCGGGAGGCAATGGTCCCTTGGCTCCACGTCCCCAATGCTTCTTGTTTAACAGTCTTGGAAAACAAACATCCTTGAGCTTGTCTTTTACCCGAAATCCAAGATAATTATTTGGACAAATAAGATTCATTGCTTAAGAAACTGGGCTATAGATAAAGGATGTCTGATGAGGCGATGACCATGGATGCAATTTAAATTTGAATGACTTTTCGTCCTGTGTAGTACGTGTTTTATAGTTTGTTTTCATGTAAAAAGTTTATGGAAATCTTATGAATAAATATCGGATTTACACTTGCGTCATGTTACATGTAATAAAGTACAAATTATAAAACACAAAAAGGTTCAGTTTAAAAGATATTTCATGCTGTTTATACTTTTACTTTTGGTTTCGTCATATATTTAGCTGTATAATTTATTCTGTATATTGATTAAGTTCTGATTGGTTATGTGAGTGTGTGTGTGTACGGAGAAAGGGGAGGTGTTATAATAGATGGAACATATCACCACGAACTTTATTTACATCTCAATTTTTGAATATACAATTTTCAACTCATATATCGTCTTCTTTTCAACGTTTATAACATGATTTTCTTACCAAGACAAAGTGTAATACCATACTATATAGATAGTTAATGGATTATAATATTTGTCCATCATACAGGTCTGGCATAGCCGCTGGTTAGAGCTTTTGACTCGCAATCTGTGGGTCGCAGTTTCGAATCGTGTTACTGAACATGCTCATACTTTCAGCCATGAGAGCGTTATAATGTTACGATCAATTCCACTTTTCTTTAGTGTAAGAGTAGCCAAAGAATTGGCGATGGGTAGTGTTGACTAGCTGCCGTCCCGAATATCACTTCTAAATTAGGGACGGCTAACGCAGTTAGTCCTCAACTAGCTTTGCACAAACTTCAACAAACAAACCATCGTATAGAAGACAAGCAAATAATGAAAATAAATTTTAACTGCAGCTTTCCTGCACTCCATGGATTCAGGGTTCATGGCCGTTATTGTAAAAAGACACTCCACACTTCGAGGTTGTGAATGCATTATATAAATGATAGGCAAACTCCATTATTTGATAAAACAAGAGTTAGCGACGGAGGCTGTTGATTAACTGCCTTTTCTATAGTCCATGAATTAAAAATTAAGGAATGTTATGCGCAAATAGCTCTTTGTGTATTTTCGCGCAAAAATTCTGAAACAAACATATCTTTACCTTGCAAAAGATGCGTGCTTTTCTATTTTTAATTTTATATAATAATTTCTAATTAGTTGCAATGGTGGAAAACACGGAACGGTTTTTTTATTGTGTTCTGTGAATCTGGTCTCCAATTTTCTTCCTGTTTCTCCGATGTAGTATATTGGGCAGTTATTGCATGTAAACTAGTTGTACCTGATGATGACAAAACCATGTCGAAACGTTATACATTTGCTGTTATGTTAAACTTATATTAAAGTTTTTTTTCATTACCCATTCAAGCCATCTCCAAGCAAAATTAATCTTTTACACTGTGAAATATGACAAAATCATATAGCTATCCCATAGTTACTTGTATCATGTCTAAATCTGGTCGGCTAGAGGGCGGTATGTAAACACTTTTATTGATATTTTCGAAGTATTTTTTTAAATCAAATATTATGTTTGAAATTAAAGCCATTGGCATGTTTATTCACATCCTTAAAACAATAACGTAATAAAATTGTCAGTAGTAATTTATACATTTTATAACTAATTTTCGTTCTTTTGATTTCATTGCTTGTTTTTATTATTATTTTGATACAATAAAATAAAAGCAAAGTTAAAGTTAAAACTCCACGCGACGTGACTTTGAATACTGCTAATAGTAATACTACTACTAAGATTACTATTACGTTACAGCCACCGTCGTGTGTAAGTTGAGGCTCAAAACCATAGGATAAGAAATATAGCTGGTGTATATCGATTTGATCAAGATTACTTTAATATTAACTTTTAAGTAGTATAATTAAAATAATGGACTAAATTGAGTGTTACAGATATTGATCATAGCTGATGTGCAAGTATCTTTGGTTTATTACTGTATAATATTAATGTATTACAATTTACAAATAGACCCATTAGTATTACATTATATTTATAGTATTAGTAGTACTGAATTCGGTAAGAGTTCCATATGGCACCCCCACTCAATTTCTAAAAAATTCATCAAAGTCATATTTATGTATTAATAAATCATATTAATAGTATGATCTGATAATTTTAATACATTATTATACCACTTACTTCATTAATTAGATGTACAATCTTCTTGGGGATAAACTTTACAAATGTCTTGTATAAAGGCATCAAAAAGGCTACTTTTATCAGAATATAATGTTCTCCACATGCATTCACACAAATGCTTGTCAAATGTCTTTGCCCTGGTATGTGTAGTTGGTAGTTGTCTTTTATAAACCCTTTTCAGAATCTTTTTTTTTATCCAGGCAATTCTACAATTTTTGGGTGGGGGTGCCGTATGGAACTCTTTCCCTGAATTTTTTTCTATCCATATGTCGAAATATATGTTTACGGCGTATTTCTATACAGATTGAAATATATGTTAACCTATGAAAAACAAGAGGCCAGTTGGCTCTTTCAATGTGTCTTTTTCACACCTACCCTTTTAAAAAGTGAAAATTTAAACCCAGCCTTTACTTTCCAGGAAATCACTGATTTTCCTCTTAAACTCTTGTAACTGGAACCTTGCCTGTTTTTTTGTTTTGTTTTCAAATCTTAGATGTACGCTCTCTTGTGCTGTTATCTTAAGAATATGCATGTACCTGTTAATGTCATGATTTATATCCAGTGTAAGATTGGCCACTTGGGTTACTGGCTTATGCCAGCAATTCATGTTCAATATAGAGGGTGAACCTCAGTGACCCCCTTCCCCCACTCTCTCTCTCCCTGAGTAAAATAACTGAAGGCACTTATTCCATTTTATTTCATGTGGGGATACTTATATGATCCAGTGTACAAAATGAAGCCACCCAATCAATGGTGGATTTCTTTTGCAGAAAATTGTGCTTGTCAGTTGTCAGTAAAATTCTCATGTCTACTGATAATGGTTGTTGGACACTCTGAACATTTGTAAAATTAGACTGATTAATTGATCATGTAAACCGTGAAGAAAGGTTTATTTTGTTTGTGTGTGTGTGTATATATGAGTATGGCTAACTTTTTAAGTTTGTTAATGAATTGTCAGCCAGATTCTGTATTTACTTAATAAACTTAGATTAAACACATTTACTGTTGACAATTGTTACCTCTCTGGGTCAAGTATATCTTAAGCTTTTTGAGACACATGTGTATGTAATTTTACGAAGAAAAAACATAATTTGTTTTTTTGCATAATTTCCTTTTAAACAGCAGAAATTTTTGTCAGAAAAGGCAAATGTTTTTTTTATGCATGTAAGGATAAAACCTTTTAGTTTTAAAGTTTCATCCAAACTTGGTTTTCCTGAATGACCTAAATTACATAAATATTAGATTTGTTTTTAACACAAATTAACCTGTGGCTAGCATATAAAAAAAATTGAAGCCTAGTTTTCATTGTACATGCAACAACTTGATAAGAACACTACCAAGGCTCTTAATCAAAAAAATTTTCTTAGAGTTTTAACATAAAAACTTACCTTAACCTTTATGTAGATGATTTGAAGGGAAACTTACAAGGTTGTTTTGTAACTTTTTTAGACTTGCATTACCACCACTAACACCATTGATATTAAATTGTGGAGAATTTTGGGTCATATGGTACTCAACATGAAACTATTTGAACTTGCCTAACTGCTTGTTACTAATTTTCTTCTTCCTTTCTAACTATAAAATCATCTTTCACTTTTTATTTTGTTTTGTTAATCCAAGTGAATGATCTGTATGTTTCCAAATGATACACGTTGTAGTAATCTAGGTTAAGTTTTTATGGAAATTTCAGATTTATCATTTTCTCGGCTTGGATTCAAAACCGAGATCTGTTGCACACCAGGTGAGTGCTCTACCAAATGAGCTAAAGGTTTAACCCACTAGTGCTTACTAGTCACTTTTTAACAGCTGAAACTACTACATTCTTCCCTACTCGCAAACAAGGCCAATCCTTTGGCCTAATTTCAGGGCTGTGCAACAGCCCCATGTTGGGTGCGAATGTTATAGTTTATTTTTTCTATAATATATATGATCTTACCTCAGATTTTAGCCTGAGACCTGAAATATGCTAGGAGAGTGCTCTCCCAACTGAGTTAAAGGGTTAACCCCACTAGCACTTTGTAGTAAGTCACTTTTTAAAAACTGAAAGTACTACACCACACTGGAGAAAAACTCACACACTATTCTCCACAACATTAAAATAACTAAAAAGTAGGTACAATAGTCATAAATGCTTGCACTGTAAATGACATTCTGGGATCACAAAATGATTGTATGTAGTGTGCTGAGCAGGTGAACATAGTATAGTTAAAACTTTCAGTCCTTACCATTTGGCAAATTTGGGAATAATATTTAAAAAATTCTCTGGAGAGGGATTAAAATCAAGAAAAACTAAAAATACATCTTGTACAGGTCACTTGTTAGGCCACATTTGGAATATTGTATTCAATCTTGGGCTCCTTACCTTAGGAAAGACATTGAATTGTTGGAAAGGGTTACTTGAATGGTGCCTGGGATGGAGGGGTTGTCATATGAGCAGAGGCTGAAATCTCTCAAATTAGGAGGATCTTATTGGGGTGTTTAAGATTGTAAAGAGAATTGACAGTGTTGATGCATCAGCTTTTTTCATATTTAACAGTGAGAATAGTAGGATTAGGGGACACAAATATATAAATTTTGACACGGTAGGAGTCATCTTCAGCTAAGACAGTTTCATTTTTCTAACAGGATGTTTGGCCTTTGGAATGGGTTGCCTTCAGATGTTGTAGAGGCAGTAAATTTCAGTGAGTTTAAAAAAAACGTGATAAATATATGAATGATAAGGGCTGGCTTCAGGATTTTTTTAAAATTATTTTAATTTAGTTTAGAGGATGGAACAGCCGAGATGGTCCAATAGGTCCTATGTTGTCCCAAAACTTTATATTATGTTAAAAAGAATGTCTTATGTAATAGTGTAGCTTAAAATATACTAAGTTGAATTGTCTTTTAGTTATGTAAATTATACAATGTAATGCAAACCAAAAATACACATTTAAAATGTATAATATAAAAAGATAGGTAATATTACTGAAAGAAAACCTTTGAAATAAACACAGTCAGAACTAAGTAACACCAACAAAAACTGAGGAAACTTAGCTTTTAGTCCTTGAGACAGCACCAATGTTTTGTTCTTTCTTGTCAAAAGATACAAAGTAACCAATCTACAATTAAAAATCCCTGTCACTATACTATGGTGTTATTCATTCGTGGAAAGATAACAATAAAATAGGCACTTTGGTAGGATAAAGTCAGTGGGTTTATGTAGATATATATGGTAGAATTCTGTACATTACAAGTGCCTGCTATAATGTGATCTTAGCAAATTTATAAATATTCTTTTCTCTGCAGCTGGCTGCAATCTGATGTCCTAGTCTTCCTGAAACAACAACACATTGGAGCATGTTCTACAAACAATTCCCTGAAAAAAATTTTTTCTTTCCAAAAGCCACATTTAAATATTCGAGTGAAGTTTTTTAATTGATAAAATGATATTTGGATTGTGAATTTTCATAGTGAGCATATTACTGTTATTGCAATGAGGATCTTGGGCTCACTTTAATTGTAAGAAGTATAATTCTTTTCAAATAAATACTTTTTTCTTTTGTGCCAGAAAAATTTTTAAACCAATTTACATTGAAATTTCAAAGTGAAAGCAATAATTTCATTGCTTTGTAAAGTTTTAATTTTGATTTAATCTAGAAAACAAACTATCAAAATCAATCTTATAAGAATAAAACGTACGCAATGTACCTAGTGAATACTGGAGTAAAGAACTCGTTCAACAAGTAAAAATAAAGTGATTAAGAAAAACATTGAACTAGTTTTTTCTTATGTGAAATACTTTACCCTGAAGAAGGCATCAGCTGGAACATTTGGAAAATAAACAGTTTTTGGAGCTTAAATAATTTTTTATTGTAGAATGTGTACATAAAAATTAGATTTGTTGAAAAAGTAGGACTATATGAAATGTAATCTAACTGAAACTTAAATAAACTAAAGATGGAACAAGTTTGGATACCAGTTTTAAGATTAAAAATGCATTAAAAATTGGGAGCCTGAATTTATTTTTACAACTTCCTGGTATCTAGAAACTACTTAGATTATAAGGTAAATATCAGTTAAGTGCTCATCTTGCTCTAATAGCAAGTATATCATTTGGTACTATATGATATAATATTCTCTAACTGGTAATTGGTACGGTGTTGTTTATGACTGTGCTAGTGATAATTAATGAAACTTTTTCTGAATTGGTTATCTGTGATAAAGAATACATTTTGTTCTCCTTTAGGAGAAGAATAACATCTTTTCTTGTGCTGAATGGATCTCTGAAAAAATACAAAATATTCCTGTTGTTTTACTTGGAAGAGAGTTACACATTACAACATGGATAACATGCGAAAAATGTCGTAAGTGTTTCATTTATTTTCAAAGGGACTTAAGGTTGTTTCTTTTTAAAATGATTAAGTTATAAGTGATCAATGATATGTAAGATTGTCTGTGGTTTTATGAGTCCATACTTCTTGTTAAAAAGATATCGTACAACAATACCAAGAACATGAACAGTTCCATTACTAGTGTTGCTTTATTGTATAAAGATATTGTACAACAATACCAAGAATATGAACAGTTCCATTACTAGTGTTGCTTTATTGTATAAAGATATTGTACAACAATACAAGAATATGAACACTTCCATTACTAGTGTTGCTTTATTTTATAAAGATATTGTACAACAATACCAAGAATATGAACAGTTCCATTACTAGTGTTGCTTTATTGTATAAAGATATTGTACAACAATACAAGAATATGAACACTTCCATTACTAGTGTTGCTCTATTGTATAAAGATATTGTACAACAATACCAAGAATATGAACAGTTTCATTACTAGTGTTGCTTTATTGTATAACGATACTGTACAACAATACAAGAACATGAACAGTTCCATTACTAGTGTTGCTCTATTGTATAAAGATATTGTATAACAATACCAAGAATATGAACAGTTCCATTACTAGTGTTGCTTTATTGTATAAAGATATTGTACAACAATACCAAGAACATGAAGAGTTACACTACTAGTGTTGCTCTATTGTATAAAGATATTGACTGTACAACAGATATATGTTTCAAATATATTTTATCTCTGTATGGAAAGCAAGTCTGCTTGATCAAATAGGCATTTTGTGTTTACCAAGTAATATTTATTTTAATCAGTGCCTTTTTTGTTCAACTGAAAGTCAATTTTAAGTTTCTCTTTTATTTCAGTTGTTTTTTTCTTTTACTGGATTTGATTATCCAGGATCAGTTATTTTGTGACGGTCACAAGTTTCTGATTTGTTGTCTCCTCTTCTAGATCCATTTAATTTTAATACTGATGAGTATGTAGAAAAAAAAATACAAAAACAAATGAAACCAGTTGTGGGTGAGATGCTCTGGTTTTATCTTTTTTTTTGATATTTTTTACTTACTATGTCATTGCTTATTTTCTTCCAAGTTCATATATTTGCATTTAACTCAAATACTTCTTATTCAGTTATTGTGGCCACTTATTTTTTCTTTTAAATAATAATAAAAATGTGCTCTTATATCAACTTACAGCACATGGACTATAGAACTCATCACTGTCATTGAATATATGGATGATACCTTCTAACCTTTTTTGGCCACACCTTTTTTTCACTCCTAAGGTGTGTTTGATTAGATTTTATGACTTTGTCAATACACACCAACAAACCACAGCAAGTAAGAGAATGACACTCAATAGTAACCAACATTAG